GAAGGATATGGACGAAATTGTTTTGCATACTCGTTCGCTCTCTTGGTATTAAACTCGCTCATACACAGTATGTACACGATATGCACATGTTATGCTCACAAATTTGAGCTCAACCCAAAAACTCGTAACTCACAGCTCTCTCTTTGAAATCAAAAAAATGACCCTAAACTTTATATGAAGAATCGAAGATTCATTAATTTGAATTTGGTATCAAATTTGATTGGGTTCAAATATTTAAAGGATTTGAAAAAATTACGATTTGAATGGGCATGAAAGAACCTAAGAATCAAAGGAAATTGTTTCACGAACTTGTTTGTTTTTTTTTTGTATTTGCAGGGCCTGCCTCTGAATCAAAGGAAAAAATAGTAAACTACTTTAATGTGAAGAGTATCAAAGATGTAAATACGCACTATCTACACATAATACACTATATGCACACCACATGCACATAATATGTACAATACATGCACATGATATGCACAGAACGAGAGAAACTTAACGGCAACGTATTGGTATAGTGGATACAATTAAAACATAATTGTTATGTATATAAAGTTACAGTGATAGTTTGAAAAGTCTTGTTACGTATATCAAGCATCGCTTAACTGTTCACGTGGAAAACATGATACTCGTTCTTGTTATTTCACGGACAGCATAACCCTTAACATCCTCTAAGTTTTTTCTTAATTTTGTTTTTCGCCGAGGCCAACTAGGTTGTGGTTATACTCGCTAAATTCTGAGGCACAACATACGTGCATCATAACTAGTGAACATTCCCACTTCTCATATTAGATGTAACCATTCACACCACATGCACATTATGGAAAAAATTTCACAAATTTCTGCAATTGGACACTTGAACCAGAAATTGTTCCATCCTGGTCTTGTAGCACGTCAAAACTTGAAATTTATTCCACAACCCATATGCCCCAACATGAAACACAAACCCTAATTTAACTTCAAAGTATTAATTCATCTTACAAACAACTCATTTATTCCATAAAATCATTGATGAAGGAACTTGGAACTAAACACCCTACCTTACTATGTCTGTCAAAGCTTCTGTCGTCGGAAAAATGGAACTTTCCGACCAAAACAGAAAATATGGTACAAAACCCAACTCACTTTTCTCACCTCTCTCTCCACCCCTTTGTTCGAAATCAGAGGTATGAGGTGAACCCAAAACCCAGCTCACTCTTCTCACCTCTCTTAGGACTTCCATCTCTTCGAAATCGGAGATCAAAGATCTAAGGAAGGGAGAAAGAGTAGAGAGAGAAAGTGAGAGAAGAGAGAAAGGAAATGAGAGAGAGAGAGAGTAGAGAGAGAAATTAGAAACGGGAGAGAGAAAGTGAGGAATAACCCATTTAAATGTGAGTATTTTAGTAATTTTGATTTTGTCCTATTTATATCCCAAGATTAATAAATTGTCCAATTTTGAGATATTTCACTATTTTTTTTAAGTTAATTTCTTTTAAGAAAAAGCACCCATTGTATTGTATAAACCCATGACTCACTGTACAAAAGATTTGAGGAATCCTTAAGTCCTTTTTTTTTGTTGAATCTCCAAGGAAGTCAAAGCCTAATTAATTATACAAAGTAAAGAAACTATAGTATGGACTACACCTGCAACAACTAGAATTGTGAACTTGTCAATGTAATGGAGGTGCTCAGTTTAATCGTAAACGAAACTAACCTGCTAAAAATGCAGCTATCATATAGCCAAAGAGACAAAGGGGAAGGTTGAATAATGCACCCATGAATCCATCTGCTTCACCAGAAGTCTGCACAATTGCAAATTCCATCCTTGAAATGATGAAACCAACTCACGTCTCTTGAAATTATTTCTCTCTTTGTAAAAAGATCAGTGATCATGAACTTTATGGCAGCATGGCAATCACCACAAACCCGCAAATTCTTGGTAACTAAGATCGGTTTGCCCGGGCTCAGACTAAGAATTGCATAAGCAATGGCCAGTTTCTCACTGTGGTAATGGAGGATTCTTTCTTTCTCCTCTTCCTCAACACCTCGGAGAACAAAAACTATTTTTTGCACGGTATCCTAGTTGTTTCATATCTACTAGTAGTTCTTCTAGTATTTCATGTATCTGAGCTGATTGAGGATGGGACAGATCTGCACCTAAAAATCCATGGATAACACCATTGATCTCAACCCAATTGCATCCTGGACTCTTCTTAAGGCCTTGGTCCTTCTACTTGATTCTGACATCGGCTGCATCATCCCGCCTTCCAACAGCATAAAAGGACCAAATTTCCAGTACCTGCAAGTCCTTTCCCTTGAATTTTCTTGGATATTTCTTCCTGCGTTCCATATTATTATGGACTCTGCATGCATCATGCAAGCAGTGCGCTGCACACATGATCATCATCCTCAAACGGCATTGTTCGGATGAAACATTGTGCCCCATCCAAAAGTCCTGCCCGGGCGAGAGATCCACCACGCATATGTAATGTTCCATCCATGGGGTTATGTTGAACTCCTGACTCATTGCACTAAACCAGTGTTTGCCTTCAGTTACAGGCCCCGAATGGCTGCAAGCAGATAAGAGGCCAATGAAAGTCACATCATCGGGCTTAATACCACATGCCTGCATATGATGAAACCGTAAAATTGCCTCCGTGCATGCTTCCATCCCAAGGCCATGATTCCCATAACCAACTATCATTGCATTCCATGAAATAATGTCACGCGCAACCATTTTATCAAAACTTAACATCCCCCTCCTCGTTCTCTACTTTCACCTAATCACTACGACTCTCAAACTGTAAACACAAGTTAAATTGGCTTTTGGACAAATTAAGGAATAAGGTTAATTTCAACCAACAGTAAAGTATGTACAATTAAAAAAAAAAAAAAAAAAACCTTAGGTGGCATTTGATGTGGACAGCCACATCATTTGAATTGATCAGATTTTTAAATTTAGCTCATTATTTAATAAACTAATAATTAAGAAAAACTAGTGAATTAAATGCTGATTGTGGTATACGAGGAGTCTTTCTCCTTCATTTCCTTGGGTTTTGCAAATTTTTCAAATGATGTGGCTGTCCACATCAGATGTCACCAAAGATGGTATAGGAATATGGTATAAAAACATGGCATGAATAGCATTATCTAAAATATAATTTGGCCCACAAATTATGTGCGTAGTTTTGGGGGGAGACAATAAGATTTTTGGTTGTTAAAGAAGGATTGGATTGGTTTCTTAGCATTATCAAGGTACGAAATGTGTGGTCAAATTAAAAATTTGGTCTTGCTAACATTACCCGTCTATAAAGTATAGTTGTGATCAATTTAAAGATAATTTCGCTCATGCTATTTTAGTAGATGAAAATAGATAGTATGAGACTTGCTCATCTCATGCAAATAATCCTTATGTTTATTTATAACGTCTAACATACAAAAGTTATATAATACAAAGTGGTAACCATACACCACAAAGATCCACAATAAGCCAATAAATCTGATCCATTTAGACTCCATACATAATCATCCTATTCCAAGCATACCAACCCCATATCATATATATGTCATTTCAGCAGCAAAAGAGCATGCATTTGACCAGTCATCAATTACACATAAAACATGCACATTAATTCAAGACTACAAGATAATAAAGAAATAATTCTAGATAAATAGATGTGTGTGTTGTTTAGAAACTCGTATGTATTTACAAAGAATTGGATATCTTATAATTTGGAAGTAGTTTTGTCATTCCACCTTAAAAACGAGGGGAAGGGCTGGGCACATGTCCCATGGTCCTTCTTCAGCTTCGTCCTGATACGTGACGTATAGACACATATATACGTGTATTATAATATCTAATTGATAATTGGAGAGATGGTCTTATAAATTATGAATGAAGCCAATCATATTTTAGTAAACTGTGTCTTGTGAAACTCATGACATCACACGATCTATGTCTAAAGTTTGATATAGATTTTGTAGTGACTAATAGCTGGTAAAAGTAGAAGAGAAACAATCAAAGACAATAAAATTAAATATACTATGTAAAGGTGAATGGAGATGTCAAATATATAAGAGCCTTGTTTTGTGTTTTGTCCAGTAGTAGAGTATAACTTTAGCTAATTTAGTAACAACTCAACTCATTGTCAAGATCTGATAAGAGAATACTGTAATTGTAACTGTAACTTATAAAAGGGGCTTCGGCCGGAAAGGGATAAGGGGATTGAGGCTTGAAAAAACGAAAGTGAAATTAAGCTACCAAATTAATTAACAAAATATATGATCGTTTTGTAAGAACAAGTGACACATTACACTGTGTTGTGACGAATGTTTGAATATATGACTCAAATTCAATCCAACAACAATGTGTTTGACATAAAATCATAACAGGAGAATTTTTTTTTTTTTTTTGACAAGATCTTAACATGAGAATATATATAACATGTATGAACACACACACACGCATATATATATATGGGAGACTTTGGATGCAGTCCTTAGTTATGAATATTCTTTGATTGAAACCTTGTTGGTTTTTAATTTTTATCAAGGTCCCTAAAATTAATGTGATAATTTATTTCTATGTACGTTACTATATTTTTAAATTAAAAATTAGAAATTTTAGTTGTTCATATAAATAAGATTTTAAATAAAAAAACCATAATTTGTGGGATTAAAAATATTAAAATATAAATATACTATTGTGTGTGTGTGTGTGTGTGTGTGTGTGTGTGTGTGTAAACATGGGTACATTCATCAAAATTAACCAAAAAATTAATTGTATCAAAACATAGGTACATTCTTCAAAATCACAAAAAAAAAAAAAAAAAAAAAAGATATTAGGCTTAATAACATTAGTAAATTTCTTATTAAACTTGACATTGATACATTTTAAAATCAAAGAAAAAAGAATGCACCCATGTAAGTTTAAAAATGACACACCCCAACCGAGGCCAGGGCATGCTGGCCGTCACGTGGAAGTGACGTAGCCATGTGCACAGTGCGGAAACTAAAGAAAGTAATATAAAAGTACGAATAATTTAAAAACTAGCATATATAATGTGATAATATAAGTGCTAGCGTAAGTAAGACACTGAATTCAGAGCATAAAGACTACAGCAATCCAAAGAAAAGATACGACGGTAGTACACCCGAAGGTGACCCTACACTGGTGAGTGTCTGTCAGGAATGCCGAGACGCCCTCTGGGAAAACCACCGAACCCGCTAAGCTACTAGAACCTGGAGGGGCGCAAAACAAAAGCGTGAGTGGGCAAAAACAAAGCTCTTCAAAATCATTTAGCAAAATAAGTTCTAACCCCTCGCCGTAAAACCTGTATACTTCCCAGAAAATAAACATATATACGTATGTATAAATATGCCAATCATACTCAAGAATATGCCATGTCAAAACCTCATAATGAAATGCAGGTGCTCAGGTATCAATCACGTCAATAGCATATAATCTGGCAGCCGGAGTCCCCTAAGTGACCTGTACGGCTGAATCTAGAGCTCAAATCTCAACTCAATCACTAAACCTGCCCACGAGTCGGAACCACCTATAGTGGTCTGTACGACAGGCCTGGGTGTAATACATATAAACGCTCTAGTGCTACGATCACGTGAAGACTGTGCGAATAATCGCGGGTCACCTACGAGTCGGAACCACCTATAGTGGTCTGTACGACAGGACTGTGCACCTAACTTGGATCCAAGATGAGCGTGTGGTGCGGGAGGTGAACAACATGTGAAGGACTGTGCCCTACTCTGGGCGGGAGCACTAACACCGAGGGTGCAGGTTATGAGCTTTCTAAGCATCTCGAATCACCATTTAATGCAAATGTTAAATAACGCTTACCTGGCACTTACCTGCGCCTCCACAGCACCAAATATAAATATGTAAATGTATGCCACTACTAATGCAAATGATAATGCATAAACAATAAGGATATGATGCATGGCATAAAACGAATAACCCTTTTTAACTATTTCTGGGAATATAAATGTATATAGGTATATACGGAAAACCAAAAGCCCACTCACTGGTATGTGGAAGGGTCGTAGCCCCCCTGCCTCGCGTGAGCCCGCTCGTCCTCGGGATACGTGTCACCTATATGCGAAAAGACTATAAAAACGTTAATTTTAAAGCACATAACCTTCCGTTCAAAATAACTTCTCATACATTGCTCAAAATGGACAATTGAATATACCAACGTGCTCTACACAACCTCAGGATCACAACCATATTTTTAGAAAAATTTTCCACCGCCACACGCGCCGCCACGCGCTGACGGCGTCAACTGACGCCGTTAGGAATATTCCGTCAAAACTGACAGATTCCGTTAACGGCGTCAGGAATATTCCGTCAGAATTGACGGAATATTCCGTCTCCTTCTCCGTTTAATCTCCGGCGCCGGAAACTGGAAAACCTGTAAATTACGTTTTCTCGTTCGTTTTTCCAACATTTTCCATGATTCTTGCACCATTTTAACCCTTAGAACTAGTAGAACACGTCCATATAAGTTTTAAGGACTAAAACTCACGAGAACTCACCTGTCACCAATTACCAAAACCGGTCAAACTCGAACCAGGCTAATCCGACGTCCAATTCCGTCCAACGATGCACTCCCAAGCTCCTTAGGACCTCACCAACACATCTACAAGCTTCAAAAGTCCAAAAACTAACTAGATTAATCTTGCATGAACAGTGACTAAAACGGACCTTGTAAAATCGACGTGAAAACGTCAAAGTTCTCACCTGATATTTGTATGATCTTGCTCCCCACGACCTCACGATCTCAACTGTGCCCTTAGTTCCTTCGATCTGTGGTGAAATAGTGTAGTTGTGTGTGTGTCCGTACGAGTTTGAAGGAAGAAGAAGAAGGATAGAGGACTTGGGAGAGAGAGAGAGACAGGGAAAGAGACTGAGAGAGGGATAGGGACAATGAGGGTGTGTGTGGGTGGCCCAGCACCTGCCAACACCACACCAAGTAACCAAAAACATAACAAAACAAACTAGGGGTAAAAGGGTCATTTCACCTATGCGTTTCGATAGTTTCGGGACGGGATGTCACAAAAAATGGATTAGAAAAAAATTGAATAGATTTTATATAAAAAAATTGTACATTTTACGTATAACAAATTGATATATTTAAGAATGAGTACATTTTAAGATTAAAAAGTTTTACATGAATGGGTACATATAATTAGCATGGGTACATTTAGCAAAATTAAAGTACAAATAGAAAAAATATATGGGTACAAATACAAATAAACTTTAAAAAATATGAGCACAAAAAGAAATTAATAAATGGGTACAAATTAAAATTGAAAAGAAAATTGGTACAAATTAAAAAGAATTACAAATTAAAAATGGGTACAAACTAAAACTAAAAATATATGATAAAAAATTTAGTCATAAATATAAATATACTAATTGTAACATTTTTAACATTAAATGAATATATTTAGTATTAAAAAAATATTTTATTATTGAAATAATTAATGATGTTATTAATATCCAATGACTTCGATCAAAAATAAAAATGAATAGGATTTTAATCAATGAAGTAGCAAAAGGAAGGATGAGAACCTAATTTCTCATATATATATATATATATATATATGATTTTTGTTAACAAAATAAACAAAATTGAAATATAATAAGCAAAATTTAAAAATATTCAGTAAGGCAGAGAAGTGTCAACAGGAAGAAGGTTTTGTCTGAGAATCTGGAAAAGGAAAAGTGAGGTCCTGATGCGGAGTGAGGAAAGACCTTAATACAAGGGACTTTCGGTCCTTTTTATACCTCTATATATAACATGATCATGATGCCATAAATCATTAGCTAGCTAGGAGGAGGAGGAGAAGGACGATCGACCGGTCGCAAGGAAACAATCAGTGACAAAAAAAAAACTAGCTAGCTTGCGCCGTACGTTCATATCAATTATATGGCGCCAGTGGGATTGCCTCCCGGTTTTAGGTTCCACCCGACGGACGAGGAGCTGGTGAATTATTATCTCAAAAGGAAAATCAACGGCCAGGAGATTGAGCTCGACATCATTCCTGAAGTTGATCTCTACAAATGCGAGCCTTGGGAATTAGCAGGTCGTTCATCGATCATCATTTGAGTACTCTTACTAATCAACATCATTATTATTCAAGCAGTATACCATTCATGATACTTAACTTACTCGTTAGCGTTTGAGCGCTATTAATGTAGTATATGTACAATGCAAATTATGTCATCTATATTTACATGTATAGTTTTATACAATTACGTATTTGATTGGTGCATCAATCAATGCAGAAAAATCGTTTTTGCCAAGTAGAGACCCGGAGTGGTACTTCTTTGGACCGCGGGATCGAAAATACCCTAATGGCTTCAGAACAAACAGAGCAACGAGAGCAGGATATTGGAAGTCGACTGGAAAAGACAGGAGAGTGACGTGCCAGAATCGAGCGATCGGAATGAAGAAAACGCTGGTTTACTACAGAGGCCGAGCCCCTCAGGGCATTCGGACTGACTGGGTCATGCACGAGTATCGCCTCGACGACAAGGACTACTACTGCTCCTCCGACCCCGACACCTCCTCCTCATCTGCCGCAATTCAGGTACCTTGTTATCCATCAATTTATACACGCATTGTTCATGCTCTAAATTAATTAATAATACACACATATGTATTATTATAATGGGGTGTGATATCCACACACTCCTTTTTACTTCTCACACATTTTTTTAATTTTCGACCATCTGATTGAATGAACTGATGACGATCAAATGACATAATTAAATAAGGGGTGTGTGGATAGCACACCCGATTATATATATAATGTCCACAGGTTAATTAGTCAGTTAGGAGGATTAAGGATCATTCTCTTTGTATCTGTAGCTCATTTATTTGTCCCAAATGATTCTCATCATTAAATTGTTGAGTATAGTGGGATTCAATCAATATTAAGTGCCAGTGTGACTTATAAATTTAAGATGATCACTCTCACTATTTTATTGAATAGAACTAATTAAGATGATCACTCTCACTAATTTATTGATTAGAACTAATTATGTGGTGATCAGGAAGGAACTCACTGTTACTGATTAGCTGATGAAAAAAAGAAAAGAAAAAAAGATGATTAGAATAATTATTGTGAGCTTTAGTTGAGGGAAGTATAACTTCACATTGTATTACAATAAAACTGTCTATTTTTTATATTTTCTTCAAATATTATCTCTACCAAAAATCACACAGAAAGGAAACCATAAGACCATTGTTTCAGAGATTAATCTTTTTTTCGAATCAGTAGACTATATTTGACCTAAAAAGCATGAAGTTCGATGCTTGAGGCAGGGAGAAAAGCATTTCCTTTTTTTTTTTTCTCATACTTTTTTATTTTAATTTCTACCTCTTTTGCCCTAAACTTAATTAAAACTCCAATTATAAATTAAAGGATTAATTATAGAACATAATGACCATAAGCTATCGTGTATAATAATGAAAAGTAAAACTATCAACGTGAAACTTGCATGAGTTTGGAATTGCATGCATGTAATTTACGATATTATACTTTCGAAATATATAAATACTGGAATAAATAAACACATAGCTGACATATATTCGTTGCTTGCACTGGATCACTTAAATCTCTTTTTCCTTTTTATAATCAGACAAAAGCACAATCCTCCACAAGATTCAGATATGAATTAATATACCTTAATTAACTCAAGCTTGATTAAGAACTAAGGATTATTATACTCTACTTATGTTTGATCATATAACCAAGGCTTTCAAACTAAAATGGTATCTGGCATAACTCCACATTTGTAAAAGTAGTCCATGATTTTGTCCATTGTAAATCACTTTAGTCATTCCATAAAAATCTGTCAATATCTTGTTAAATTGTCACGTGAACGACCACGTGACCATCTTTTTATATATATTTTTATCAAACAACCCCTCTATTTAACGAGGAGATTTTTCATCTCAGAAGTGATGGATAACTGTATTTGCCACCAGTTATTCCTTTTTTAAAAGAAAAAAAAAACAAGAAGATTTTTCATGAATAACTAAAATGTTTACATTAAACAAACTCAAAGACAATTTTTATCGATTTTATTTTCTAAGAGATCAAAATAAGAAGTTATTCTAATCTCAAGACCATTTTGACTACAAAACACAGCCTACCACTAATTATAAAGCAGCCCAGCTCCACATCGATCACTTTCATTTGTGTAAGAAGGTGTCGGGGACTTTTTACTTTATTCCAAAGTCCAAAATAATAATTAATATGCATATATTGTTATCAATTATATAATATTTTATTCCAACTCCTTTTACACTTTGACTAGATAAATTAATTAACTAGTATGAATTTATATGCAGGATTCTTTTGCATTGTGTCGCGTGTTTAAGAAAAATGGCATTTGCTCGGAGATTGAAGAGCAGCAAGGCCAATCAAGTCATTTGACACTAAACAATATTCATGAAAGATCACAAGGTGTAAACAATGATCACTGTGATCAAACCCTGTCACCGGAGAATCCGATGGCATCGTCATCGTCAATCTCATGCCCGCAGGAGGAAGATGACAAAGACGATTCGTGGATGCAGTTCATCACAGATGATACGTGGATGCAGTGTTCTTCTAACACTGGTGTCAGTGGTGAAGATCAGCTCTCTCATGTGGCCTTCACAAACTAACTGGTCAATGGAGATGAGTATATGGATGGTTACCGGAATATTGGTGTTGGCGGTAAATAACCTGAAAATGCATGTATGGACGGATGTAACTTTCAAACAATAAAATACAACATATATACACGATTTCATGAAGAACACTAGACAAATGCTTGTCATCATACCTTCATTAATTGGTAGATTAATTATCTTTAATTGGCTTTAGTCATTTTATGACGGTTTGGTCTGGTTTGGTTTGGTTTTGTTGGCGGATTCTCTAGTGAGTCAATATCTCAGATGACCAGTCTAGAGATTTCGTTATTAAACTCTTTCCTGAGGTGATTTGGGTGTTACTTGTGGAATAAAGCTATATATATATATATACACATTTTTAACAAATCGAATTTGATGTTGTACCTCTTGAATGGCATATTAATCTTCACAGTTTCCACTGCCTGAATTCTGCAGAGCCTAACATGAAGGAACTAGCATTTCGATGCCCACCGCCTCCAAATTCCTGAGAAGAAAATGCAAAACGTGTTTTAGCTTTTTCCAAAGTACTACATATATGTGCCAGTTAATTCCATGTTTAACAGGCAGAAAGAAAATCCATGTGATGAGAGAACAACCTGTGAGATGAGTGTTGTGTCTTCGGTGTCCACACTCCTAAGGCTTATTTTTAGCCTTTGGTCATTTTCAAGCTCAGGCACTCTGTATACAACAGCACCAATGCCCCTACAAAGAATTTAAATGAAACAAAAAACATAACTAAAGTGTAAAATGGAAGGATGGCACTGATTAAAATACATCTCAAACAAGTTACTGAATGCGCATTGGATTTCCAGATGGGTGGAACAGTTTGAGTTGAGCTCAATAAAACCATGCTTGGAAGAGAACAACCTCAATAAACAGGCATAAAAAACCGATTCTACAGAAAATAACATGAATATAGTTCTGAAAAATGTAGATGACAGGATATAACCCTTTTATGCTAAAAGTTTATCCACATCGATTTCAAACAGAAAAACAAGACAAAATAATGAATTGCCAGAATAGTGCATTCAAGGAGTCTAACATGGGTCTATACTAACCAGACTTTTTACCGAGTAAAAAAGGAGCAAAAATAGCCCCAACGGTTCAACATGCTTCAGTGTTCAGTCCTAACATCAGTTTGGATATAGTGCGATTATTTTTACATCACATGGTTTCTCCCTTAAAACTCTCACATTTTCTTTCTACAATTCTTTCATAAAATTCTTTTAATTGCAAATCGGTTTGCAAGACTACTTCCTCAATACACTTCCTTCACCAAAAATATCATCATCATGAATCCAGATCTTGAAAAGATTACTGTGTCAGTAGTTGAGGTTCAAATTTTGAGCGAATCACTTGGTCCTCCTAATCAGACATGATTTGCAACCCCTTCAAAGGGAATGGATAGAAAGGTATGGATTGCGATTCTAAGAAACGTGCAGTTTCAGGAGGATGGGATTCAACAATTGAGTGGTCTCTCCTCTTAGTCCTCTATGAGGCCCGCAACCAATGATAAAACTGAATTCAAACTAAAAAGGCCCAAGACTTCTAATCTTGACGCATTGCAGTAATGGAAAGAGAAGCAACATGAAGCGCGCCCTGAATGCTAATTCCGATAAATGTCATTTCAAGACCATGAGTAAAGAAACAGAATGCCAAATACCTTAAGCTTAGACAACGGCTTTTAGTAGCTAATTGATGTCCGAGTTCACTCCTCAACTCGGAGATAGAATCTGCGGTGACAGCCTACAAGCAGAAAAGATAAGATTATGCATTTCCTATCAATTTTATTTCTTTCTTATGTTCAGACACACACACAGAGCAGCAGCAGCAGTCCAATAGAAAGCAGAAAAGAAGTATACTAATAAGTATTAATACCAGGCAATGTCCAAAGGCTCCGCCGCCAAGTGCAATTTCATAAGACGAACTGAGAGCTTCATCTATTAATTTCTGCTTGTCCGATAAGTTCGCCATTCCTTCACTAATCAAAGACTCCAAATCCAAAGAAAGCAGCTACTCATTCAAACCAAATATCAATAAAGCACACAACTTTTCAGTAAATTCAACACCATAAATTAATAAGGCAAGCAAATTTGAAATCACCTGTTGGAACAAAGATGGGTTCAACCCGACGTCGTATTCGAGGTTCAAATCTTTGAAACCACTACTGAAAGCTTTACTATTTGGAAGCATCCACCTCCATAGATCCCCATCCTCGATATACTCGAACAGCCTCCTCACCGCGTCAAACCGAGCAACCGCCGCCTTGTTGTCGGCGTCAATTTTGTCCCTGAAGTAATCGAAAGCGATGGTGGCGCCGCTCCTGTTCATGTCTACGACGCCGGCCACGTTTCCGCCTATCGGGGTTCCAATGGCAGTCTTGTGATGGTCCAAGACCACGACGTTCGGGACCGCGGAGGAGATCTTCTGGACGAAACCAGGGGGGCCCACGAAGTCGAGGAGGTAAAGGTGGTCGATATCGGGGAGAGGGAGGTGTTGGGGGGTGATGGGGCTGTAAACGGTGTTGGGGAAGAAGAGGGGCTCGACAGAGACGGCGGAGAAGTAGAGGTGCGCCGCCAAAGCAGCAAACGCGCCGTCCGGGCAAGGGTAATGGTACAACACTGCCGGTCTCGTGTTAATTACCATATTCATGTTCGCAGCCCTGCCGGACGCCTACTGCAACCACTGCTGCCTAACTCAGCTGTGCCGCTCCGCCGCTCTGCCTCCCGTGACTTCTAAATGTTCTTCTTTTTTAAGTTAATTATAAATTTGCCCCCTGAGTTTAGTGATTGTTTCACTTCGGGTTTTAAAAGAAAAAGTTAATTCAAGTTTGGTCCCTAAATCATCAAGTTTGGCCCCACTCACCATGCCCCAGTTGGGCAGACGAACCTAAAACGCTCTCCCCACAACTTTATAGACTTGTGGAAGCAGAGTGTAGACTGGCTCTGACTGCAAATGGCAACGACCGTTGTTATCCTGAGGAGCCCTGCAAATCCATGGCCTTCCAGTTCGAGCAACAGACTCAAACAACAGAAGAAATCTTCTCAGGTGGTCGGCGGCTGCTGCACCATCACTTTCACCTCCTCAATTGCCTGCCGTGCTTGGCGGAATAAGCAGTCCCTATCCTCCTCTCCCACACACAAAAATCGCACCTTCTCGCCATCGGCGTCTCTTTCTCCTTCTTCTTCTTCTTCTTCTTCCTCCACCTCCACCAAGCTCTACGTCAGCGGTTTGCTTTTCTCTCTTTCCCAATTTCCCTTCATATATATATATATATATTTATTTATATATTGATTGATAACATGGAATTGCAATTGCATGATTGAAAGGTGAAAACTTTTTCAATTTGCATTTGTAAAGCACCAAACTTGAGGCGGTCTCTGTTGGAGGCTTGAATGATGGACAATTTATGCATTTGGGTCCTCTTACTTTCTCCAAATTAAGGATGCTTTGTCAATTGTCAATTGTCATGCAGGGCTTTCGTTTCGTACCACTGAAGAGAGCTTACGAAATGCTTTCCAAAATTTTGGACAACTTGTAGAAGGTGAGAGCATCAAAGATTTTGGGCATGTTTCTTTTCTTAGTTGAGCTGCGATTAGCCTCTGTCAGCTGTTTTTCTATTGATTTTAACTTTGTTTTGGGTTTCGAATAATTCCATTTCAATTTGTAGTCAAATTGGTGATGGATAGAATTGCAAATAGGCCAAGAGGCTTTGCTTTTCTCCGCTATGAAACTGAAGAGCAATCTCAAAAGGCTATCGAGGGAATGCACGGAAAGGTACGTGCCGCCCAGGAGGCTCCATTTTTCCTTTTCGAAAAGAAGATAAATAATTATGAAAGAAATTACACTGCTTGAGAGTCTCATACTACTGCTTTATGTTTGTGTTCGTGAGTGTCTAGATGCCCCAAATTTGTCCTAGCAATGCTTCCTACTTTGTTATTATCCATATTCAATTAGTTGGCCTATTTGTTCATTAAATGTCTACTTGTACAAAACACTAGAGCCGCAGTACAAGTGCGTTTGAACTGTTTTCAAGGCTGAGATACTCTCTCAGACTCTCGGGCTTTACTAGTATAAGATAACATTCGCCATCAAGTGAAGCAACAATATATCAAGGAGAGTGTCATAGGAGAGTAGAGTTTCGTAGTAATTAGATATAATCTTATTGCACAAGAGAGATCTTGGAGACTTGGATTTTGGCCTGCTTCTATCAGGGACCCCTAAGTGTTACGGGTACCCTTGATGGCAACGTGAAAAGGTTTCTATCACCTTGTAATTATCATCTAAACCAATGGTGGTACGTAAACTTTAGCATAAACGTGAAACATATGATATCATGAGAAGTGTAGGCATAGTCATGCTCTGCTCTAACGTTATGCCATCATTTTCAGCTGTGCTGCCCCGATTGCGACTCATTATTTTCAGAAACATGCATTAACCTCATAAATCAAATCCCCTCAAGGATGTGCATGCTAGGTAGCCTTAAAGTATGTTGGTTTAGTGAAGTAGTGCATAGTTTCATAGTCCATGACTGCTCTCAAACGTGTTGCCGTTAGAAGGGAAACCACAACTAGGTGTAATCTTGTCTTAAAAGTTGTACATGCTTTCAATTGGAAATCTTCACTTATTGACGTGTAGGTCAATGGCTATAGTCTTTTATACCTGTTCTAGAGTCTAGACGGTCAATTGTTTTTGAGCTTGATGAAACATTGAGTAAGTTGTTTGATGGAGTTTGTGTCCTATGTGACTTGAGAAGATATATATAGTGAACTGATGGCCTTTTGAACCGTGAATTTTTTTTCTCGTTTCTAATTGCTGCGCACACCAGCACTCGTTTCCAAATATCTTTGGTAGCTTTGCTTATATTGGCTCGTCCACAATGACGTAACAGATATTGAGATTTCTTTGCTGCTTGTTTTGTTTTTTCAGTTTTTGGATGGCAGGGTAATATTTGTTGAAGTTGCAAAGCCGAGATCAGAGCTCCGTCAAAACCCCAAACAAAACCCAAGACGGTATTGAAGTGTCGGCCGTAGCCTATGATTGTTGTTTAACATAAAAGTCATCGATGCGTTCGCTTCGTTAGAATTCTCATGTGTGTGTGCTCTGGATTCAATTAAAGATCCAAACTTGTGCTCTCTTTGTCTGCAAATGTGACGATGCGTTAAAGGGTAGCGATTGTCAGTCTCCATTTTGTCAAGGCAAGAAAGAATTGAAATGATTACGTACTGGCGATGCGACGCGACCAAGAAAATTGTCAAGGAAACGAATATGTATCCAATTGAAGCCTAATAATTTCGTTTAAAGAATACATCCAGAAAGTAAGTTACTATTATTGCTTGTTGCATAAATGCAGCATCATCGGACAGGAACGTATCGAATTGTAAACTTTCAATCAAAACGGGTATTGCTAAAAACTTGAAAACAGAACATCTAGAATGCAAAACTACGAGCAGACGCGAGCCCGTTGCCTGTCCCTCATGTCTTCGGAAACTATGACAGATGAGTTCTTACTTAGGTCTGCTAAACATCTTTTGTACGGCACAAACCCCTTCCGTGAACTGCAGGGGGCCGAACGAGTTTCTTCGCGTAATGAACTCACAGACTCTATGTGCTTCTCTCCTAAACTTTCCACTGCACTACCAAATGATCTTTCCGTCTGTTTAATTGTTTTGTCCGCACAAGAATCTACACGTATTTGTATTTGAGCTGAGTTTTGGTTACATGATCTGATGTGGAAGTACGGTAGACCATGATACATAGCCCACCATGGCAGAGGAGCTTCAGGATTAGGGCTATGTTTTTGGTGTTCCCAATCAGTTATAGCACCACATGCCGATGGATCCAAATTACCAACAATCCCACCAAGTGTCAAACTCGTATCTATCGCATCTGATCTTGGTGTTTGAACAAGCTTATCATTCTCCCTCTCACAATTGTCTTGTTCCACCTTTGATGTCGGTGTCTTAGAATCCTCGGCACCAGTTGGAGATTGTTTCTCCGAGTCTGGTACCAAAACTGTCCTTCCAAAGAGTTTAATGCTCGCAGAAGCTCCTGAATGGCCAGCATCTTCTTCAGTACTCACAGTGTGCTTGGAAGCTGATCTGTAATTCTGGAAATCCACATCATGTCAGAACCCAACCAAAACAGAGTACAGGAATCTAATCGAAATAAAAAAAAGAGTTCACCATACCACGGACGGAAAATTTTCCAAGACTGAGTCAGCAGATAACTGGACTGATGGCGAGGACCCTTGCACTTCTTCAGCAGATGAGCTGAACGCCATATAATCATTCTCCTTTTCAAAATGGGATGGGCCCGTTGAGCGCATGTCAGTGGTACATGAAGTCGGGGTTGAAGATCTGTTATGCTGGTCCAAAGCTGCAGACCCCAGTACATCTGAACCCTGTGCAGATAATACTGAAGGAGGAGATTGTTGGTCTTTCCCTTGAGCCGAAAATTGTGGGGACGGTGACCTTTCTGGTGTTCCATTGAGACAATCCACTGATTTTCGTGGATAAGGATGAACAGGCTTCCGCTTAGGCCTGGGAGGAGGAATCTCAATAGGCCTGATGGAGCCTTCGCTAGGTCCACATGACTCCTTAGAAACCTGGAAGCAAGAAAAACCATATCAATACAGTGAAGGATACATGCTAATAAAAAATACGGCCAAATGACGATTTAATGGGGGTCTTGAATATCTAACTCAAGAAACTTCAGCATCCTGTACATACTACAAAAGGAAATTGGTACTAAAGTCGAATAGGCATTAAACCTTAGAGAAGAACTTCTGAGCATGACTTCGAATTTGAACTGCAGTTTTGGTGCCTACATGTTCTGCATAAAGATGAGTTTTACTTCATCGTCAGATGGTGTGAAAGGAAGTTACTCTAGAATCTAGACAAAGTTATGAGGCACTGAGCTTATACCTTCTATTTGACGCCAACCTCGGCCGTACAATTTCAAGGCTTCAAGGAACTTCTGATGCTCCTCCTCTGTCCATTTTGCTCTTTGTTTTGTAATCGTATACGGTTTCCTAACCTGAGGAAAGAAAACAAAGAACCGTTGAGCGAAAATTTAAGCAGGTACATAAATTTGAGGCAAAAGGAGACCCCTCCGTGACGAGGGCAATGAAAAGAAGGTGACCTTGGGTGCATGGTCACTGCCAAATGAACAAATCTCCGCATGAGATTGCGCATCACCATTTGAACTGCAATTTCCAACCGCAACGGAGGCGTTGGACCCTGTGGCTTCAATCTTATCCTATGTCCAAACACAAAGTCGAGTTGATACTTTTGATTCCAGCATAGTAAAAAAAACAAGCGAAAAAGCGTTCATCATTAGTACACAATTCGGTTCGAAAACACACAACAAAATAATTCTGCACGAGTTCGAAAACATCAAAACGGGCCGCATCGCAATACTAATCCAATACGGAGTAAGTAATCACGTAAATTGCTTGATCTAGTTAACAGAAACACAATCAATCCACAGAAACAGACGAGAAAATATATTCATTAATTAATCATAAACTTAATTTAACCACTGCCTCAAAACCCCATCTTGATCTGAGACATCTATCTAAGTACGCATCGAATTGACAGTCAAATTCCTCAACTTTTGGAACATATTGTTCTAAGAAAGTATTCACTGACATGCCATCATCAGATTCCGACCAAACCAATGGATTAAAAAGACAGAAAATTGAAACATAGTAAGACAAATTGCTTTTGCATACCTCAACTGCCATTGCTGCTCAAATCAAACAGAACAAGTCCGACACGTTTACTCCAAACCGTTACCGAACAAAACCTTAATCTGCAAAATTGATTCACAACAAATCAAAAACACAGAATTTCATCGATTGGATATTCCGCTGAATCTAAATAATAAATAAATACTTTATTTATGAACAAAAAGGTCAAATAAGAACAAAAAATCAAACTTTATCAATTTTTTTTTTCAAAAAAAGAAAAGAAAAGATTTTTATGGGAAAATAAAGCAGATCAATCAGAAGCTTACCTCAAATGGTATTTGAAATATCGAAAATAAACTTTTTCTCGACAGTTTTGTAACTGGGAGAGAAGAAGGGAAAATAAATTCCCCCGGACTTTCCCGAGAAACAAACAAACAGATTCCGGCGTCGGATACCCGGAAAAAAACAAAAGAAAACAGTAACCCAAAATCCAAATCCAGAGAAGAAGAGGAAGGAGGATGTAAAGAGAGGAAGAAATGTGAGAGTATAGAAGAAGCGCACAAGGAAATTGAGAGTTATATGGAGGAGGAAGAAAGTAAAAGCAGGATCCGCCACGTGAGAGTCAGACTGGAGAATTTTAATTTTAATTTAATTTCTAAGAAAATATAAAAGGTCGGGTGGGACAAATCTTGTGGCTGAGGACGCAGGGGACCCTCAGACACCCGGCACTTTGTGGTGAGTTGTAACCTGTCTCCCACCTTTTCGGCTTTTCTCCCATGTTAAGAAAACTCCAAAAATCCCCAATTTTTTTTGTATTTTCTTGATATTTTTGTGGAAGATATTTAATCTTCCCAATACTCCAACCGAGATTTGGATAATTACTGCAAGACTGAGTCTTTTATCACCAATTAGATATTTTCATTTGTTTCCAAAATTAGACTCCTCCAAATCTCATGTTTTTCTATTACTTTTAGTATCTGCTATTGACATTTTAAATTAATATTTGCATATTTATTTAAAAGATAATTTATTATATTTGTGAAATATTAAAATAAAATCGTATAACGATATATTTATATTAAAATATAAAAATTTAGAACGAACTAGTTATAATAAGTGGAACAAAATAATATCATCCCAAATAATTGAGAAGAAAAAAAAGAACAAGAGTTGAATAGAAGGGGTGATAATTGAGTGATAAAATGAAGAAAATATCTCAGCCACGAGAAACAAGGAGAGACAAAAAGCCAAGTCCCCTTCACTTCTCAGTGCAAAGTGCAAGTGGTGTCCCTTCAACCTCCGATCGTGATCATATAATAAAGATTCGACACATAATATATATGGCCCATCCCTGCCATATTTTTTTTTATCTAATTTTTAACAATATAATTCACTTTGTAATGTATTTAAATGATCCAATCGTCTATTTTTCTTTGTTTTTTTTTCTCAAAAATCATGTCAACCCAAAATTACTAAAATTGACTGTTGAGTTTATAATTTCTTTATGGAATTGTATGTGTCCTTTTTCTTTTTTCTACAAATAAATGTTTTAGTAGTTTTGAATTTGTCTAATTTTAAAAAAAAATAATCTATGAATGATTTTGTAAAAGATAAATAATTCAGATTATTAAAAAAAACGTGTATCAAAAAACAAAATATATAAAAATAAATATAATGTCACGGGTGTTTCCCAATTAATATATATCAAACATATATCTAAATATCATGTGATTGTAATTTTTTGGGTAAGTCTACTGAAAATGTGGGGAGGTGGGAGCGAGAGGGACTGGGTGGTCCCCACTCCACCATTATCTGCGCTTTTTGACACATCAGCTGCTCTTTATTTCGTGTCTTCCTTATTTAAACGCCACGCTCGCAGGCCCCGCTGGGCCCACCATTGTGACCGTCACTCTCTTTCTATTCGTCCAACCAAAACAACCATATTCATATATTGACCACAAAAAACTAATGATTTCTATTCTTTGAATATCTATATATATATATATTCGGCCAAGAGGATATTATCCGAACAATTTATCTAATAACTTGGTTTCCCTTTTTTGGAATTTATGAACCTTTGGATGGATATTTTCCAAGGCAAAGCCTCGGGATCCTTCTGATCGAACAACATGAATCGTTGGATTTTGATCTTGTGGTCGTTAGATCAAAATCCAACGCTCCGTGTTGTTCGGTTAGAAGGATTCCAAGGCTTTGCCTTGGAGAGGATCCAATTCCCCCTTTTTTTATTGATATTATCCGAACAATTTTACACACTAAAATACGCCTTAATAAGTTTCAATCTAGAGAAATGCTAGCTATCTTTGTTATTTGCTTTTCATATTTTTTCTTTTAAACTCATCTCGTGCTGTGTGGACTCCATTTATATATCAAACTAAAGAAGTTATTTCGCTAAAACACAAATTTTATTTTTTCACACATACCCTTAATTACAACCCTACACATAACAAACAAAAAATCAATACAATCCTGAGCCCCGCCACCTATCTCTCTTACTTTTCCTCACCCTAGTCCTGTTCATCTCTCCATGGACAGCAACATGCCAGCAACTATGGAATTTTTAATACATTCGATATTATTTACATTATATAGTGGGATTTGGTTAAATTTAACGATTAACTAGTTAGAATAGTTTAGTTCAAATTCATTTTTTGCCAAAATTAAACATAAACCTCTTATTTAAAAGTGACAAAATATGACGTTATTAAACTGATTAAAATTTAGGCCATTCTCCAGAAGGAGAATAGTGGAACCCACCCAATAGAATTTAGGCCAAAAACAAAAGTAAATAAAGAAATGGAAATTTTGCAACCACAAGTTTGTAGGTTTCAAGTATGTGCTGTAATGGAGGATCGTTGGGCAAGATTTCCGACTCTTTAATTTATATTTTCTTGGTTAGTTGGGATCAAGTTTGAGCTGCAACAGACAATTGACACGTGCCCCGCAAACCCATTCACATTTTATAAAGACAAATAAAATGCCCTTTTCCATTTCCTTGCTTTCTCCTCACTCTCTCCATTTTATTTTTTTTTGTATTTTAACTTTTAGTTTAATCTAGATGTTTTAATTTTATTTGGAAAAAAACACTTAATTTACAGTTTATGATTTTAAATAATTAAAAAAAGGTTTGTAACTCACCATAAGTGGGTTTTTTAAACTTAATTTGCCCTTATTTAATAAATTGTAATTTTTTGTAAGTTGTAAGAAGGGTGAGGCATTAGTGGTATTATGTATGATTCCCAAAATGGTCTTCTCCCAACAGAATCAGAGATTCATGTTTGTTTTCACGCTTCCGAAAATTCATGTTAAAAGCCCACTTCAGCTTTAGGAGTTTGGGCATTGTTATATGTTCATAATGGGCTAAGTATTGTTGGTGAGAAGCCCATAAAACATAGGCTTGCCAGTTTGCCAACTCTCTTATCAGACTCAGACCAATCTTCTAAACCAAACATTTAGCAATGTATGTATGTGTGGGTGTGTGTGTAGGAATCCTTTAACAAGAGGGTTTCCTAATCTCAACCATATAATTTTATTAAAGTCAAATCTAACGGTCAAGAAGGTGTCCCCATATTTTTTTTGAAAAATAGGGATCCCTCTTGTTATATATATATATATATATTACGATTAAATAACAATGATATAGCGATCATAAATCGACGACATACTTAAAATTGATAGCTTTATCAATTGAAATTTGAAAAATAAGGTCTAGAGTCTAGGCTAGTGGGGTTATTGCATTTGGAGAAATGTCAACGTCTGCCTTCCTAATTTCCTCTTTTCTGATCGTAGCTCTACCATCAAGGTCATTTAATAAAACCCTACATAGTACTAATGAAGTAAACCTGTGCAGACAACCACATGGTAGGCTGTATAGTATATCATATAATACAAATCAAATTAGATGGATTTAATTAATAAAATACTTTTGTCCTTTGTGATTTGAGAGAAATTATTTAATCCGGATGTCCGTACACATGCACCAAACATAAGGGGATGAGATAATAATGGCTAAAAACAAGTAGCGTGTAAGATAGATGTTTTCTATCTGCAATTAAACAAACACGCAATCTGATCATCCACACCTAATAATTTTTATTGGGGAGGGGGTTTATGATCATGTCAAAGAAACATAACCCGCAGTTCAACCCGAAGAGGTAACAAAGCAAAGGTAGGTACTGTACTTAATAGGTTTACCGAGTAGAGTGGTGGAAAGCTAGGGTTGCATGGTGAATGATGATGGATGGAGGGTGTGGAAAGTGGGAAGCTAAAGCTAGCTGTAGATATAGAGTTACATGAAGCATTGATGGTGTTTTAAGACCCTGTCTTTATGGCTGACTATACCATACTGGTTTTGTTGCAGCACCTTCGGCTCTCGCTTGCTCAGTCTCCTCACAAACATTAAACTAATATAAAGTTTTGCTTTGGGCTGATCCATAGGCATTAGGCAATAACAAACCAAGTCCAATTTATTATCTTGTGTGCTGCTAACTTTGATGAACCCCATATTTATGAATTATGACCGACTGTTTCTGTAGCAGCATGGCTTAAGATGTAAGCTGGGGTTGATGATGATATTCACCTTCTTCTTCCGCTTCTCCCATGACTCTAGCAAACACCGATTTTAACGCTCCTCGTTTAGCAAGTGATTTTAACACTCTTTATTCTCAAACTTTTTCGTGTTCCAAACGTGACTCAAAAAATATGTAAATATTTAGTTTTAAGGGCCAAACCTTAGTTTTAATTAGTAGTACCTATTGGTTGGCATTTATTTAGACAAAGAAAGCTCCAAAAGGTTCAAAAGTCCTAGATTGATTGATGAGATCTACTTTTATTCAACAAATTGACCAATCCAACTCAAACTCAAAGAATTTGGTTAAGTGACGTAATAAATGGACAGTTAGTCCATCAGGGTCATATCAATCAAAGCTCATCAAGGAAATGCTTTTTCCCTCCGGAGAATGCCGAGGCATAAAATTTAAGATCTTTAAGCTCAATTTCCACGTTCCCAGCCTCAAGGAAAAGCTTGGAGATGGAGCCCCACAAATTGAAGCCAAGGATCCCCTCCAATGGTCAACGTGTTGGCCCTAGTTTCATTGCACTCAACTCTTGGCTATTTAATATTTATCCTTCCTCTTCAAATAACATAAATTTAGGTAAGAGTATTTGATCACGTCATTCGTAAAACATATTATAAATTATGTATTTTAATTTTAGCCTATACTAGTCTGCTCAATTTGAAAATTGAAAATTTTCCTATCAGACAACTTTGTTTACGTTTCCCTCCGCTCACTAAACTGAAAAATATACACAAATTGATCAAGGCACGTTTGATTTGTCAAGAAGGAAAAGTTGAGAGGAAATTCAAATATGGTTTAAATTAAGCTACATAAGTTGATGAACAAGAAGTCAATGCCCGAACCATACAACCTTTTTTTTTGATGGAGAGAGATGGACGGAGAGAAATTCAGCAAGAAAGAAGACGGGTATGGTGCGTTCTTGACTCCCTCTTTTAATGCTCTACTTTTCCAAAACGAAATTTGCAAAATAACAAAGACAACTCAAAAACAAAGGCTAGTGATTTTAACACCTCTTCTATCCACGCGCAATCCCAACATGAGGTCAAAAGATGAGCGTTAAAATTTTTTACGCACTCACAGAAGGAGTACATGAGGTTACAAGACGAGCGTTAAAATCACTGGCCAGAACAAAAACCTACCCCACCCAAAAAAAAAAAAAAAAAAAAAAAAAAAAAAAAATTTGTAGTTGGTGTAAATTGTGATGAACCTTGGAAGCAAAAACACAGCTCTTCTGAACCATCAGCAGCAGCAGTGGAAGTAAATGAAGCTTCAGATCCTTGATGAGAGGGCATTCAAAGTTTTCAACTAACGCAGATGATCTGTCCCACATTGAATACCTCTGATCATTTCTGATCAGAAATATTTAAGATCAATGGTAGACAAGAAAAAACAGTTGTGTAGCAGAGAGTGATCATCATCAGGAACTATTGCAATTCAAGGCTGTTTTAATTTGCTGCACAGTGTTTCCGATTAGGGTATTAACGGTATTTACCGACTCCAAGTTCAGTTTAGTGGCTGGCAAGCTGCTCACCAGAATTTGAAATGCCACTGTGATTAGTGATCCACTTCCAGTTGCATTGCAAGAACTCGATGAGGCGCAGTCCCCTTGATCTGCCCGCCCGTCGGGAGAAATGGAGAACCCTGAGGGCAGCAGAGGAATGTAAGAAGGATCCTCACCGCTCATTGCTATGTTAATGGCCGGTAGGTCAACAGGGGAGTACACAACAAGTGAGCCTGATGAGTCTATGCAGCTCTGTTGGAGTATCAACATGTTGTTCTGGCTAGTGTTGAATGCCTATACAGTACAAGGAAAATAAATTGCACTATGCGATTAATTAAGTAGTCCTTAAAATAATTTGCGTTTCACAATCAAATACGAAGAGAGCTGCTATATGCACTCCAAAAAGGTCATTTTACATTTCTTCCTAACGTAAAAATAAAGACGGGGCTTTTTTGGAGTGCTAATGTGAAAAACAGAATAACTTATTTCGCAAATATAGAGTTGTCTTACTCGAAGAACAGATATGCAGTTCCCTGGATGTGAGCCATTTGCTATGTGGGCAACATCTTGCACTGCATTGCCATTTGAAAGCACATCCCACTAGAGGAAAAATTCAAAACCAATTGATAAGTTGCAGCTAATTTAATCTGATTAGTAAGTTACAAGATTTGAATAACATTTTCTAGCAAGCATAATTCTACCTGAGGTCGAGTTCTTTCATCCTTGAAAAAATTGAAGACATTCTGCGGTGATAAGGGGAGCCAAATGGTAGTAGCTGCACTAAGAACCACGCCATTGGGCTGGCCAGGATCAGTGATCTTATGGATAGTGACTCGCACTCCAATCTCGTTCGTCCCAGAAAGGGTGGTCCATCTATGTCCGTTGGATGCGCTAATGCTTGCGCAGAAGTTGTTCACCATCCTTTGAGCTAGTTTCATCATGCTCCTCTTTCCTTCAGGGGATGGAATCACTGATTGATTCACAACAAAAAGAAAATAATGTTGAGATTAAGCTTCTAGGGGAGAATGTTAAGGATCATTGAATAACTTTGGTGTTGAAAATTGAAGCTACCTCCTTCAAGATCTCTAGTAGAAGTTCCTGAAACCATTAGACAAGCAAATCGTTCACACATTCTCTGCAGAGCAGCAAGCCATCGTTCAGCTCCAAATGCTAATCCGCTGTGAATAAGATCTCTATAAATCCGATGAGTTGGAACTTTGTCTTCTATTTCCACATGTTCCACCCAAGTAACCTATTTTTTTCCACAATGATGGAAGAAGTAAGCGAAGTTATACCATTACATTTTAGATTTTACATACAGAAAAAAAATACTTTTTGTGTGTGAAACAAACCTTGGAATATCCGTTAGGCATGTCTTGAATCAAGCACCCGGAAGGAAGCCTATGAGATCGACACTGGCTTGTAAACTGGTTATCTTGTGGAAAATCGTAAGAAACATCAACAATTATCCACAGGCCTTGCTCGATTTGCTGACAATAACGAAGGAAGTAGAACTCCCGAGTTGGTACCAATGGCGAAAGCACTTGCAACTCGTTGTACATCTAAATAACATCCTTCAAGTGATAAGAACTTATCCAAGCATAATTCCAGCATAAGACTAGACAAAGCAAAATAGAAGTGTAATAAAATTTTAAGCCACATACCAACTGCAAAGAGCCACTATGACTTCCCAACATTCCAGATGATATTACTTCGATTGTTCTTGCCATTGAGACAATTGTTGGAAATAGCTCTCCAAATTTGTTCTGCAAACTTAAAATTGTTAAAACTCTTGGATGTAAACAGTTAAGCTACAATTCAGGTTTGGGAATCGCAAATTATATGAAAATACAGAGAGAACCAGGAGGAGGAGAGAATTACCGGGTCCATAAACATGTCTACTAATGCTAAACCATTCATGATAACCACACCAGAATCTCTTGATGCTTCAATTCTAACATTGGGGTTTTTCAAATGACTATTAGCCCTCGGAAAAATCCTCTCGTAGGTTTCGAGATTAAGAACATCCCTCCCATCAGTAGAAGACTTCATCCACAAGGGTTCATTGGTCTGCAAAAGACTAAGCAACTCTTTCATGGCATTTGCAGCAATGTCAGTCATGAGGGACTTATCCATGTCCGAAAACCCATTAGGCTGGCAAGGTAAATTGGGCATGGAAGATGAAGCACTCCCAGGTAGAAGATCAAGATCAAGCGAAGGTCCGGCCATCCCATGGCCCACAAAACTTGCCATTGATAAGTCCAAAGACGAAATATGAATAGGCTGAACTGGTGAGAGCTGGGAAATTGGCCTCCCAATGTATTTTGCAGCAATACTAGACACTCTATCTAACTGCAAATGAATGAGAGAGCGAAAATTTGAATATCCAAAAAATAGATAAACACAGTAACTGAAGAAAAAATTGCATCAAGCTTGAAACTTTAGTACAAAAGCGAAATGGAAAATCGAGTAAAAACCTCTTCTTTCAATTGGGCATTCTCCATTCGCAATTTATGTTCGTCAAAGTAGGAATCTTCGTTGAGTGGAGGGACACCGCAAGAGGGGCAAATCACATTCTTGAGGGCCTCCCTGATTGCAATATTCTCGCATCGGATCTTGTCGTTCTCTGCTCGAAGCGCGCTGTTATCTGCTCTTTCGTTTTGCGCCTGCCATTGGTAGTACAGCAGTGAGGCACAAAAGTAATGAAGAAAAAAGTGCAGTAACTTTCAAGCAGAAGAGCGAGCGAGCGAGCGAGCTAGTGAGAGACAATTTACCTTCATCTGGGTCCTGCGGTTTTGAAACCAAAATTTGATCTGGCGAGGAGCCAAACCCAACTCTCTGCTCAACTGCATCCTCTGCTTTTCATCTGGGTGAGGGCACTCCTTATACATTCTTCATACCAAACACATGCAACCAAATTAATCGCTTTTTCCAACCAAACAAACCCATAAAAAAGCAGAGCAAAAGTCGTAGACTTCAGACTTACCCTTCAAGCCTCTGAATCTGGTGAGTAGTGTGGCGGTGGTAGCGCTTCTTCCTTTTCTGAGAGCCGGAGGCCTCGTCGTGGTGGTCTCCACAACCAGAGCCACCGCCTCCGCTGCCGTACTCCATTTTTTTTACTCCTCGGATTAATTCGTCGCACTCACACTATAGCTCGCTCTTGAGTTTGGAAGGAGATAGAAGAAAGCTACTAAATGGTTCTATGATCAGCAGAAGAAGCCAAGTCCCACGAGAGAGACAGCAAGCAAACAACAAGACTGACTGTGATATTTTATATGGGTTTTGACTTTGTGGTGTGGTGCGTGGGTTGTGTAATATATATACACACGCGTACGTGTATGGGATATGGAAAACTGGGTTGTGGTTGTGGAGGGTTTAAGGAGGAAATGTGAGCATCAGTAAAGGATGCTTCAATGCACCAAAAATTTCATAAACTGACTATCATGAGATATCATAGATATTGGCTTGATTTAGGGAAGATTAAATCTTGACCCATGATTGACTTTTACCCTAACAAAATCACTGCCAAGAGATTATATTTTTACTCGTGGGTGATTTTTTGTTAGGTAAAAGTTAATCACGGTCCAATATTTAATCTTTTCTAAAATCAAGTCGAAATCTTTGGTAATCTCTTGACAGCCGTTTATAAAAATTTTGGTGCACTAATGACTCCGTGCTTGGCTTCCATAACTGATGCTCTTTCCCTATATATTTTTCCGAACCACCACATTTCCTCCTTAAACCCTCCACAACCCGGTTTTAACAAAATCACTGTATCCCCGCTTCCACTGATTTCTGTGTTTTTCGTAACTGATAGTTTGCTTTTCTACTAATAACACCACCTGAAGGTCACAGAGAGAGAAGCAAATGGGCAAAGCAATTAAATTCTCTCAACACACCCCATTGGAGGGCATAATATTTTTCTGGTTTTTTTCTGTGGAGAAATGCTAAGGAGACGCTTTCATAAGTGAGACTCTCCACCATCTCATATTTTTTTGCACACTTATCATGCAATCATTATACGATATTGCGTAAAAAAATATGAAGTGACAGATAATTCATGAAGGTTCTCACTTTGAAAGAGTCTTACTTAGTATTTTTCTTTTTTTTCTGTCTGTGGTGGCACAAATATAGAAGGGGGTATTCTCAGGGCCAGGTGGGCAGTCGTTGAGCTTTTAATAGCAGCTCCCTAAACCTTACTACTTGCTAGTCCTACCCACCGGTGGACAACACTGCTCATTTCCCGGCCGCCTCATGCAGCTCCCCACTCCCTTGTAATGACAAGTATACCCTTTTTATCCTTTCCCAGTTTCCACCACAACTTTTACGTTTGACCTTTATTGTTTTATAACTTTCCTTCCTTCGTTCTAATTCCGCTAAATTCTTTCATGGACATGGATCCCTCCGGATCCATTGGTCCTAATCTATTAAGTTTCGTGATCCGGACAATTGAAATTTGATCTAACAATTACAAAATTTCAATAATCCAGATTACAAGATTTGATGGATTAGGACCAATGGATCCAGAGAGGATTCATGTCCTTCCTTCATGGTTGTAAATTGTAACTTATAAGAGTTTTTTTTCACACTGGTTGTCCGAGTTTTTTTTCACACTGACTACCACGTTGTCCAAAGTCAAACATGATTCCACTTTGTGAGAGAGATTTTTTAAATTTATCAGACATTAAGTGTAATAATACAATTATTTATAATTTTGAATTATTTATAATGATTTGTATTATAACACTTACTGTACCGAGATATGTTACTAACACACTAAAAAAATTCTACCTTGAGACTGCAATTCTCTCAACACAAGTCAAACCCACCTTCCATTTCAACCATTCCATTTATTTTTACCTTTACTCCTACACCAGTAGTTTCACTTAAAAGCAGTTGAGCCTCGTTGTTAAGTGCTTAAAAGCAGTCAGTACCAAGTATTAGAAGCCTTGTGTTAAGTACTTATATTAAAAGCAATTATGCCTTCTTGTTTTAATTACAAGGTCTCAATGAATTTGTTTCACTAATTAAGGAGAGATTAATTTGCACTATACTTGTTTCATTTAGTGGTTCAATTACTTATATGGAGATTTAATTTAGTTGGTGAGTTTAATTAACTTAATTGTTCCATAAATTACAATGCATGTTAAGTACTTATATCAACATGTCTAATATATATATGCATGGTAGTAGCTTATGCCTAATATATTAATTATGGTTGGAAAATTGATTGATGAGTACTGTATAGTCCAATTAAGGGAAGACATGCATGTATGGATATGCAGGAAGGGGTGCTCGTAAATCTTGTGGGGGTTGTGTTTGTTCACTTGTGCGAATTTGCGTAACGGCTACAAGGGAATGAGAATGATTACGAGATAAAATAGATCTTCTTGAATCCATTTACTACAATTTTTTTTTTAACAAACAATATTAATAATATTAATATTGGGCTAAGCCTCATAATAAGTTAGCACTAATCTGATTCAAATTCGCTTTTCACGATAATGGAACCAAAAATCTCTTACTTACAAATAAAAATAGATACTACTAGATCATATTACTAAGTGGATAACGAGGCATTGTTGCAGGCGGTTGTATCCTGCTTTCTCTGAGAAAGTCTTAACCTTTCCGCGAATAGTGATGAGTCTTCACGAGAGATCAAAGCTCAAAGGCATATTAAAAGGTGTTGAATATTTTCATAATTTTCATCCTTATTAATACTCGATCGATACATGCATTTATCCTTCGTCAGATAATATCTTATGGTGGTTTTTGAGCTTATTTCCCAGAGTAGGATGAGAAATGGAATTCAATTGAAAATATTTGGGTGCGTAATTCAAGGGTATTCAACGATCAAAATAATAAATAATAAATAATAAAATTATTTAGGTATTCCATTAATGAAAGTAAAATACTATATTTGGATTAATTACACATGTGAATCTATCAGGATATCAGGTTACAATAAAATTTGAAATATATTTTTGTTTTTTTTTTTTTGTCAAACGATAGATTTTGTTAGATTAATCATTAACTCAGTTCGAACCCACACCATGTAAGGGCTCAACTCCTTCCTACCTATGTGGTAAAAGGCTACTTGCTTAAAATATATTTTTGTTTGAAAATTTAAAATATTTAGTAAATATTTGTGTTAATGATATATCAGAATTACCTCTAATATTCAAGCCCAAATCCTGCTGCAGTTACATTTTTAACGGTAATAGTGCAGCGGTTCCGAATTAAAAATTTTACCAGGCTTAAATGAGAGAGGATTGTAAATAATTAGGGATCATGACAAGAATTTGAAAATCAATCCAAACTCCTTTCAAATTCGTATTCTTGAAGGAGTAGGAGGATGTGATCAAGATCCAATAAATTAATAATTTAGGTTTCATATATATATATATATATATATATATAACTGTTATTAGCACTATAAAAATCTCATTGTATACTTCTCACAAATGTATTTTTTTTTCTAATTATAGAAAGTTTGGAGTGCCAAATTAGATTTTTGAAACACTAATAATTCCTTGTATATACACTTGTATATACACATATATACACATAAAATTATATATATATATATATATATATTATATCGCTTCTGTTGTTGTTGTTGTTGTGGTAGCATACTACTACGTACCTACTCATCAAGTCTGAGCAAACAGTTTCTAAACTTCCAATATTGTTCTTGAGTAGTCTAGCTCCCTAGCTAGCTGGAGGAAATTATGTCGTCATACACGTATCCATCCTCGTATCATACATAAACTTATATTGTTCGTCATGAAGCTAACTGAATGATGCATCAACTTGTTAGGTTTACTTTGTCTGGTGTTAGTTATTTTGTTTGGTTTGAGGTGCCCTGATATTTATTATTGATGCCTTATCTATTTAAAGACTGAATTGGAAATATGCATGTTCTAGTCCACCTTGCTTATTCTCTGTCTTGATCAATAAAACTCCTCGTGTCGTTTATTCCTCGTCTATTTTTCGTTTTTTATATATAATTTTTTAATATAGACACATATGCACTTTGTTCCCTCCCTATATATACAGGCATATATATTTTTCTAATGATCTGAAGAACGGTCATTCTCTAATTGACGAATGATCTGTATGTATATTGCAATTCCAGTCAAGCCCTAGCTTATGTGAGACACACACGTACGTGCACACACAAAATTAACCTTATTAATAGACAGTTTCTCGATCCTTAAGTTTCTGAATTCAGCTGATTCAAGCCAGTATATATCATAGCCTTATTATACAATAGCTATATATATATATATATTATATCCAATTAATGTTTTCATTATTTCTCAAATTATCATATCACGCGTGTTCATTTAAGAAGCCATTTGGAATGACGAGCACCGAACAAATTAAGCGAGTTAATCAAATTGATATATGAATTAGTAGAAGCAATATTAAAGGATCTTAATAGTCTGTTGCAGCAAGTCATTGCTATTAAATTATGGAAGGTTTCGTGGCAGGGAAAATACTTAATATTGGGTAGCAGCTGCATCTCCATCTGTTTTTTCAAGAGCCATAAGAGATTATTTAATACCTCTACTAGAAAATTGAAATTTATATTGACAAAAACAATCAAATAATTCTCCCTTCAGCCTATGAAAATGGAGAATACTTAAATCACAACATGCATGATTGAGATTAAAAGTTCGGGTGTAATGGAGGTTATCAGCATTAAACACTGGTTAATATTGTTAATTTAATTTAGAAAAAGGTTGCTTTTCTTTATATCTATATGCAGTGTTAGAGTCAGAATTTCATATGAGGAAGGGCCTCACAACATGAAGTTGGAGTAAATTGCACAAACATCGAAATACCTATCAAATTCAATACAGAGAACTAAAAACATTGTACAAACTCAAACACTTGAATGTGAGGTAAAGAGTTATGGCAAGAAAATTAAAAAATATTACCAAAGGACTAAAGAAAATACAAAGAAAATTTGATGACAAAAGAAGGATGTAAGAGAGATGGAGCGAAAGAAGGCGGCGTAAAGGAAAAGAGAGTTTGGACTGAGAAGAAGCACACTTGAATTTTATTAGTATTCGACTGATAAAGTAGCATAAAAAAGGCATGATGGACTCATAGCTATTCTGATCCCTTAGTGGCTCGGCCTCTGTTTATCTGTAGCTTCCTATAATCATCCCATTTCCTTGCTTGCAAAGACAACCATTGCATCAATGCACAACAAGTCGATTGTATGTGCAGATAAATTTTTATGAGTACGTAAGTTACATGGTGGTTCATCTTACTTGTGAAGTTATTACGCATACAAAATTAAAGTGAAAGAAATTCAACTAATTAATATTCAAAGAAATTTCCCAACCAGGACTAATGAAATAAGAAATTAAGCTGATATCAGATTTCAAGCTCAGTACTACAAAATCTGAAACTTGTTGAGGTGTATATTTATAGTTCACCATGCTTGTTCAACGATGTAAACCTAACTGAGAGAAATATAGTTGGCTAGAAAATGCAAATCAAGGCATAAGAAGGCATGCGGGAAGGTTGCAGTGGCCTTGTGGCTTTTAATGTGGTATTTATCCGATCGGATATGCATGGTCCATACAATGTGGCTTATTAATTGGTTTGTGAGCCATGTCGTACTTATTTTGCTAGATTTGCCATAAATATA